GGGCGCCCGGCCCCCGCCCCCGCTTCTGCAATCCCGCCCACCAGTGCTGCCGCTGCTAGCTCCCTCTCCCGGAATCCCTTTCTGACCAGCACCCGACCTCGCCTGCGCTTCAGCCCATACCAGATCCCCGTCACCATCCCGCCCAGCACCAACCTGCTCACCACTGGTTTGCCCACCAGCCTGAACCCAGCTTCGGAAGGCTCCAAGCCGGGCAGCAGCCGAGAGTCCAGCCCCCTGCCAGACCTCCCGTTGCACAAATCCAGCGGCCAGAGGGGCTCCCTCTCCCCCAAGAGCTCCCTGAAAGATTCCATCAACGAACTGCAGAATATTCAGAGACTGGTCAGTTGCTTGGAGAGCCAAAGGGAGGTGTCCCCCAGCAGGGAGTCCCCCAAGTGACTGGCCGAACTGCCACCATGCCAGCCCGGAAGGCTGAGAAGCACTGGGATTTTGTACAGCACAGTATGAATATTTATTAAAAAAAAAAACCAACAAGGGAAAAAAGGGGCAAGGGAGGGGGCAGGCAGTTAAAGACAGGGAAACAAATGTGATCCATCCAGAGACCCAGACAAAGCAGAGGCCAAGTGAATGATCCACAGGCAAAACAGCCCCTAGCCAGGAGAGATTATGGGAGACTGTTCCTTCCCCCTCTCCCCACCACTGCTCCACTCAACCCGAGGAGAATATAGCAGACAGGATCTCTCCCACCTAAACCCAATTCAGGAGAACATATGGAGAGTATCCTTCCCTCCCTGCTCACTTTGGACTCGACATCCATCTGGAAAAGCAAAAGGACTCCAAGCTGCAGTGTAACTTTTTTGATCAATGGATTGCCCCGAACACATACAAATTCCATGATGGCGAAAGAATGTACCAGTCAAAGGTGACTGAGGTTTTCTGTAGGGACTGACTCCCCCCCCCCTCCCTTGTCATCTAAGGCAGACAATTTTGAGAGGAAAATAATAACTCTGGGAGAGCCTAGTAAACTATGACCATGTGCGTAACCTGATTTGTTCAGGGGGAAAATGGAAATAAACTTTCTTCGACTCTTGCATCCACCACTGATTTCAAAGGCCACCGACACTCAAGACTGGTACCGGCAGTGTGCCATGGCAGTGTGATGGAAATCTACCTGTGTACCAGAAAAAAAATATTTATGAAATAAATGATAATGTGTGTAAATAAGCTATAAGGATCCCAGAATATGCAAATTGGTATTAATTTATTCAGTTGTACATTGGTGTGTACATAATATTTAGAGTTTAACTCCTCGCATTTAATTTTTTTTTCATTTTACATGAACATATATATTGTAAATGAAAAAAATATTTAGCTCTTTGTGATTGAAGGAGATCTTGGTTTCTTTAACTGTGTTTTAATATGTTGTTTATCCCGCCTTTTCTCCAGGACAATCATGTGCCATCAGCATAGACTTTTCAGTCATTAAAATTAGAGTTCAGTTCTTTAAGAAACCCTTACAAGGAAAAAAACAACAACATGTAATGAAAATCTCTTTACAGTGCGGGGTATAGGAAATGCAGGAATAAACCTCAGGTTTTTATTTTTCACTCCAGAACAAAAAAATATAATAAATTTAATATCACATGGCCTTTGCGCTATATTTGTTTTAAAATAAAAATATACATGATTTGAAATGTGCTGGTTATTCGGGTATCTATCTGTTCATTTTTATTTGATGAATTCTCTCACATCTTTCAATAAAAAATATTCAAAGAAGCTTTGCAAGTTGGTGTTTTTAACTTCTTGCATTTCAGAACGATTCCATGTGGGGTCTTTATTTTATTCTAACTTTTGGGGTAGGAAATTCTGACATACACACACCTCGAAATTTGAACAGCCCAGCAGGTCGATTTCTGAGGGGAACTTTGGATCACCCTGTGAAATTAAAACCACTAGCAATTTTTTTTTACGACAAGGGCAAATACAACCGGGGTGGTGGTATCATTCCTACTAATAAGCCTAGAACCTTCAATTTACCACCGTAAAAGGGGTTCAAGCGCTGAGCCTGCCCTTACGCACGTGCTTAACTTGAGCAGGAGAGCAGTGCTGACAAGTCAGGTGCTAATACCTGCTTGACTGTGTGCGGGGCGATGGGGCTTCATTTTGTTGTACTTAAGAAAGGGGATTGCTGGTCGTGGGCTCATGGCTGTTTCAGAATCGCCCTCATCCCCGTTACCTTTGCTTGGAGATTTGCTTTTTTAATGATTTGCCCCAAAGGGCTCAAACTAGTTCGTTTCTACCTGAAGGGTTCCTCAGATCGTATGAAAGCCGAGGCTCTGCTCGGCCCAAGTTCGGGGCTCCGGCAAGAAGCCTGGAGTGACTTACATTACCATATAAAGACTTTTAAATCTGAAACGTGGGGACTTTATTACGCGAGGGCTATGTGCGTTTTTTTATAAGTTCGTTATTATTTTCAATTAGAGGATGTGTAGAAAGCCTGCTACAAATCCTGCGAGCCTGCCTTTAATTTTGATCAGGAAAGATTAAAATGCTTCAATGCAGATAAACATCCGTTTTGCATTATTGAGATATAAACGAAAAGAAACCCGGGTTGATTTAAAGCGACAGCAGGAGATACCGTTTCCAGCGACAGGGTTGCAACATTGTACTGCGCGTTTTGTTTTAAGCTTAAAGCACACACGTAACATTGCAAACCGAGTCTCTCTCACCCACCCTTATTGCCAATGTAAACGGTTGCTCTTTGAAAAGTTGGCTGAGACGCATTGTTTATTTGCAAATATGTTTCCTATCTCGGTGGAAAAAGGAAGCTTTGTATTTTAATTTGGCTTTATGATATGCGTGTATGTGTGTGTGGTGGTGGGGGGGAGGCTGAGTCTTATCTTTCAGCGGTTTGTTGGAATTCCCCTTCCGCCCCCCAAAAATCGAGTTCCAAGGGCCAGATTTTATGAGCTCCATGTTCCTGTTGCGAAATCGGTGGCTACCAAGTTGTGAGGATAACGTAAAACAACGCTGGGAGAGTCTCCAGCAAACCCAAAGTTCCGGGCAGTGGGGCGAGAGAGTCGTACACTTCTTGCACAGCCAAAGGCAATTCTGCTAACAGTGAATCACCTGGGGAACAAATTGACTCGTTCGCCTGACCAAAAAAACGCCAAAGCGAAGTGACTTGTAGCAAGCCCCCCCCCCAGGAATTCACACACAGAACGTTCTGTGACAGAACCCTCCCAACAGCTGCGAACACGCCGCGTTCGATTAATCATCTATCCAATGAGCATAGTTAGGCCAAGATTCCGCGTTCGAACCCAGTAGCGTGAGATGCGATGGCTGCTTGAGGCAGGAAGAGAGGGAGAGGAGAAGGTAGCAGCTCTCCTCTCCCCCCAGTAAATAATCCTTATTACACGTTGTCTTGTGGGAAGAGACTCCTTGTAGCCGCTTTGCGAACAGGCGTGAAGCACAAGGGACTAGAGAGAGGCGGTCTGGACTTCTCCTTGTTTGGCAAGACGCTGAAAGAAACCAGAGAGAAGTTTTCAATTGCTACCCAGGTAACAGGAAATACACGCCCAGTCGTTTCCCCCTTTCGGTCCATTTCTGTAGTTTTATATAGGATCGTTGGAGATCTCAAGGATCTAGTCTAGCCCAAGCTTTAGGCGCCCCATACACACCCTTATCCAGGTTTTTCCTGTAAAAACAGGGGTCTTCCCAATGAAATCTATTTAAATTGACCCCCTGGCCTTAAATCTCCGAAGAGGTCAGCAGGTCCTAATTTCTCTCTGGGTTGAGAAGAACTTCACGGCTTTCTGGTAAAGCAATAAAGGATGACATAAACAACCCTTTTCTTCACCAATTACCCTTTTCTCATTCTTGGGAAGATTTATTAGCCAAGTTGTTTGTGTTAGGGGAAAAACTTGGGTCGCTCGCCTAGCGGAGCTGTGTGGGGCGCCCTCTGCTGGCGAAATGAATTAACGCGTCGCAAAAGATCAGTCGCAAGGCTGTACTCTCAGCTTGGAAATTGGCCCTGTTCTAGGTAATTGTTCGTGAGATCTGCTTTCGTTTATACCACTGATGATTCTTCCGTAAACGTAATTATTCCCCCCTATTTATTTAAATGTAACCTCTATGTTATAGTTAAAATATTCTCCTGTCTTTCTTAAACTATCTCTAATAGAGTCAAACTAACAGTCAAAAATACTCCTTTTATTTCAGCATGGTAGTCCTGTTAGTCTGTAACTTTAAAAACAATGAGTAGCTCTGTGGCACTGTGGAGACTAGCAAAATATATAGTCTCTTGAGCTTTTGTGGGCAAGACCCACTTCTTTAGATAAGTTGGAGTGGAAATAACAAAAGCCAAGATAAATATACACCTTTAGATCAACCTTCCTTCAGATAAGCTTGCCCTACCCAGTGTATTGCCATGTTTGTTATTTAGATGGTACCAAACTTAAAGACAATTCTAATTTTAAAATAAATAGAAGTGTCACTGATAAAATATTTAAAACAGTGACATTGGATGGGTGCCTAAGATAATAGAATGGTGACATTACAGGTGCAATGTGAATCTAATGGACATTGTAACATGCTTGATTGTTAATAATAATATCTGCAACTGAGTAATGGCTCCCCCAGTTTGACTCCCCCAATTTGGAAACTCTCTCTTCCTATTGGGAAGGAAATGAAGTTACTGAAACAGACTTTCACAATTATTTCTTTTGAACAAATCCAATTCAGGATGGGTAATATCTGGAGTCTGGCTTTAGGAAGTATAAGGAATATATTAGCGAAACAATTCACAGATGCTTACCAAGAAAGCAGTGTTTGCATTTACATTTAATTAGAGAAGGGCTGGCTAGAGGGAGGGACGAGGAAGGTAGGTTTAAAATAAACATTTATAGAGAAATATCTCCTATTCACATCCCCACATTCAAGAATAATGCCATCAGGTCTATTCTGAGGTTATGGCTGGTAAATGTTTAAATGTTTGCTTCCTTCTTGCGGCAAGTTGTTGTTGAGATGTTTGAGGTATAAAATGCCAGGGCTAGGCAAAGACTATTTCTAGACTGGCTGTGTATATCAGGAAGTTCCTCTATATCCTTCAGCAAGGAAAGGAATAGGGTGTCTGTTGCACTTTCCTTGTGAGAAGCCTTGCCGCTGGAGCCAAGCTAAACGGAATTGTCGTCTTTGCTGCCTGGCTGACGTTATCATGCAAGGCCTCAGTGTAACGAGGCAAAGGGGGGTCTCTATATAGGCCCAGATGGTGGGCCTACATGGCTGTCACTGCAGGGGGCCAGATCTATGCTGGTAGGTCTGGGAGCAAGGTGTGCTCAGCATCCAAATGCTCCCATTTCTCTGGATGAGGTCCAGCATCATCTTCACGCTGAGATCAGTCACATGGCTTCTTTCACTGGCCTCAATGGAAGGAGGGTCTGTCCTTTAGTACTGATGTAGCTGAAGCCAGACCCTGACCCCCAGTGTGCACAGGCTCAGTGGTTACGCCGTACTTGGGCAAAACTCCCACGGAAGTCAAGTGTCTAGGGACCAGAAGCCTGAAAATGTGACTTCTCAGTGCAGCCTGTCTCTCGCTGCTCACCAGGAGGCTGGAGGAAGGGGTGTGAGGATTTTTCATTTGTGGCCATGTAAAGCATTCCAGAAAGAACAAACCTGCCTCTCTCACAGCCAGCCAGAAATTGAAGCCATCGATCAATCCTATATTTAAACAACTTAACTAACTACGTTAGTAACCATTGGCCACATGCTGCCTTTTTCCTTATAAATGGATACATGAAATTACTCTGGTCTGACACACCCTGTGGTCTTTCTGTGGTATGGAGTGGCATTGGAGATGCATGTAATTCTGCACATCACAATGCCCCTGCCAAACGTCAGCTGGCCTTAACTTGGCTGTTCCATTTTTCATAGAAATAAAGTGGTGTGTGTTCTGTGGATTATTCCCTCTGTCCTCAGGTATTTGTAAGACATATGGGTATTTAAACATCATACACATTAGTATGACTACACATTTTTGTGTCTTATGTGTCAGTGGTTAGTTGGAATTCCTCCTCTGCCCCCACAACCACTGAGTTCCAAGGGCCGGATTTTGTGCTCTTCATGTTCCTGTTGAGTGGCCCAAAAGTTCCCAAGTGACTTTGGGTGCACAATTTGGGGTGGAGGGTATTCAACTTGAAAAATTGAAAAGGGGCTGATTTCCCCTTCCTCCTCCCCCCCCCCAACACACTCACTCCAGAGGGTTTATGTTCAGTGCCTCATTTCAATATCTCCTCAAAATCCAATTTCCTATTCTGCCCCTCATGTCCCATAGGCTCTAGATGGAAGTTTACTCTCCAGGGCTAAACATACAGCGGAGTCCAGCATATCCCCAGTATCTTTGCAATGCTAAAAATATTAAGGTGAATTTGCCCAGATATTGTGCCTGGCACCTGCATTCAGAGTGCTGCAGGATTTATTTTAACAGAGGTTTAGTTAACCTAGCTCGCACCCCCAGGAGGTGGAGCATCATCAGGCTGGCCAGAAAACCTCCCACAAATTCTGGCCCTTTCTAGAGGAGAAAAAAAAAGGCTAAGTAACTTGGCCAAGGCCATGCAGTGAGTCAGTGGCACAGCTAGAATTAGAACTCACTACCTCCTTCCCTTCCCTCAATGACTCCTGAAAATCAGGCTCATTTTATGTGACTGAAGCAAGGCACCTAAAATTACTAATCATTCCTGTAAGTGGGGGATTCAGTGTGCACAGTGCTCTGCTAGAGAGACGTCAATAGATTGCTGCCATGAAGAGCCAGGAATCTAACCCTCATGGACACACTCCTGAATCCATAGAGCAATATGACATTGCAGACGCTTATGTACAGGCTCATAGTCTCAGCCTACAATGGAGCTAATCATTGTGTGAATATTTATATGTGGGTTGGCAGACTCAGGACCTGTATTCTGGAAAAAAACAGGAGGCAGCGATGGCATTGCCAACACAGGGAGCAGCCATGTGTGAGCAAGGACAATGTGATGTGAATTGGGAGGTT